CAAGATTTTGGTATTTTTTTCGTTTACATTTTTCGCCAGACAATGCTGCAGTTCCACCAGACTTCGAACTCGCGGCTAGATAGGAAGCTGCGATCGCGTCAACGTAAGTGAAGTCCTATACCACAGGTTTACCATATTTCCATGTTATGAGAGACATACCATCTGGTCGTTTACAATGATTTCGACTGGTACCTAAGGGTTCCAGAATTGCTGGAACATCCGCTGACAACATATCTCCTTTCAATATGTCGTTCACTTGGTGATATCGAAATGTACGCCCTGCACTTCTCCTGCAACTCAAATCATGTGTACCTTCTTCATCAACTATACTACCGCAAACACAAGTATGAGGCACACAAATAGATAAACCCATCCTAAGTCCTACTGCTCTTCTGAAAGATTCATCGTCTAATAGTGTTCCAAGAGAACACAGAAGAGAAGAACAAGTAAAGCATTCAGCCAAGCACCCGATTTCTTGATCATTGCTGCTTTCAGATGTGCCTTATCGTATACCCTTGTAGATTTCAGAAGTTTATCAGTTATAATGTTCAGATGAGGTCGGTCCCATGCACTTCATATTTTGCCAACGTGATTCACCTTCAGCATAAAAAATGTCTTTGATATTGATAAATATGGAAGGAAGGATGGAATCGATAAGATCAGAAACACTATTGATTGATGACAGAAAAGCTGGTAAAGCTAAGGAAGAGGCCGAATGTAGCCGTAAACGGCCAAGGTTCACAGGAAGCGTTGCTTGGAGCCATGAATCATTATTGAATTGATTGTCTGTAACATATTCCGTCGGTATACGCATGTAATGTCGACGTTTGTCAAAAATAAACCCTTAAGGATGTGAAGAAAGAGCAAAAACCTTCAATTGCACTTAGATACTTGAGGCCACCTGGGATTTTTATAAATCTATCTGTAAGGGGTTGAAAGGGATCAGGACTCTTTTTTAGTTCAAAAAAGCTTGAAACAGTTCGAAACCTCGGCTCCACTCAAAACCCTCGGGCTCGGGTTCGAATAAATGCGGCTCGGCTCCCTATCTTGAATATTGTCGACTATTTCGGTAACCTGGCGGTTCGACGTAGGTGCTCTGTTCACTCGATCAATCAGCCGATGTGTGAGTCGATGCGATGTTTCAAGCCCCAGGCTGAACGCTCGATTTCTATCGTCCAACCCGTGTTAGGAATCACACGTTGAAAGGTAAGACCTTGTTAGTCCTTAGCTCACACAAGTTTTGACTTCTGAAGTTTGTCGTTCGTGGGGGTTCGATAGCTGATTAACGGAAAAAACATATTTCAAACATTTTTTCAAACATAATTCATGTAAGAAAATAACACTAAGGGACCTCTCAGGTTATTACTGCAAATTCACTAGAGGGTAAGTGAAGCCATTTGAATACATGAATCTAAATGAGATAATGTGATTACACTAGAGAAGAATGGGTCGGAAATAAAAACGAACTAATAATCGATTCAATGAAATATTTTTTTCGATCTTCAGACCTCAGAAACAGCTTCGATTTTGATGAACAGGTTTTATCACTATACGAATAGTGATGCTATTGAACATATGGCTTGGCAGAAACCAAAAATGTATAAATATAGGAAAAAGATCACTTCTAGAGGCTATGTATTAGTTTTGACGATAGTAGAGTTATGGCAAATATCGAATCGATTCCGAACCCTTTGATTTTATGTAAGTTCCCAGACTGAATTCAATTTATTTTCCATAAGTAGAGTACTTGATAAAGATCCTCTAAACAATTTTTGCGAAGGAAAAAACCACCTTCTGGCAGTAGTTTAACAAAATCTTTCGAACATGGACACCAAGTAAGGTGATACGAATAAACTATGATTTTGAATTTTTGAATGCTAATGTGAAACGTTATCAATGTTTGTTTGAAGGTGGTTGATAATGTTTCATGGTACATTTCATTAGTTCGGACTTCCATTGTCTAATATGATATAAATTGTAAAAAATTAAAAAGATCAGCTGAAAAATAACAATTCCAAGAATTACATTTACCAGATACCTACCCTGCGAGTGCGGAGAATCAAATATCGGTGAAACTAAGAGGTCATTAAAAGTTTGCATTGCTGAGAACAAGAAACACACACAGCGAGGAGAAACCAACAAATTAGGAATAGTAGAGCATGTTTGGACTCATCAACATAACATCAAATGGGTTCAAGCTGAATTCGTCCACAAGGAGGAACACTGATTTAGGAGAAAATTCAAAGAAGCGGCATATATGTTGTCCAACAACGTATTTAGCCAAGCTAGCCAAGCGGAACACAACCAACTCCCGCCAAACGGTCAGCTTCCGCTAAAACCAATGAAGCGGCAAGAGGGAAGAGGGGATAGGTGAAAGCATTCGAATGACCTATAAATAGTCAGATTTCGGATAAATGAGTCCAGTTATCACCCGAAGACGATTGTGGATACTAACAATCGAAAAGTCGTAAAGTCTTTTAATTTTTAATTCTTTTTTTAATTTTTTGGTTGTTACTTGTATTTCATTTCATTGTAATTTCAATTTTTTTTGCTTAATATAATTAATTTTTGCAGCTAATCTTTTCAATTTTTTACAGATTCTTTCCGATATTTCGAATCAATTTATATCATATTAGACAATGGAAGTTCGAACTAAGAACAATTGAATCTCAACGGATACCTCTAGAACACGGAGTACGACAAGGTTCATTCTTGGGACCTGTGATATTTCGAGTATATATAGATAAAGTTAACAAATCTGTTCCTGGTGGAAAGTGAATGAAATTTGCTGATGACGTTGGCACGATTATACCAGGTTCCGACCAAACTAGTATACAACGGAAATGCGAGCAAACAATGACATCTTTGAACTGGTGGTTTTTCAATGACTCGTTTATTTTCAACTCAAATAAAATAGTGATTATCCAATCACCAAAAAACTCTTGACCCACTATTTATTGGTATAGATAATCATTCGATTTCATTGTCGAAAATTACCAAGCACATTGCAATGAACTCATACCATGCAATGAACTCATATTCTCATTTTAGATCAACTAAAAATGGTGTCCGTTTCTGGGGTTGGTCAACTAACCCAGGTGAAGTTTTTTTGCTCAAAAAACATCATCAGAAGTACCACTGTTATAAGTTACATAGAGTCCTGTAAACCTTTCTATAAGAAATTACAAATACTGACTTTAACCTGCTTGTTCATAATGAAACTTTGTATCTACGTTTTCAAAATGAGAATCGATTTCCTTTAATAGGCTCTACTCACACAATTAACACTAGGCAAAAAAAATATATCAAGTTCCGCTGGCTGGAGGGCGGATTGCTCTCAAAGGTCCTAGTGTGTTGCAGGTCCTCGTTTGTTTAATGTTTTACCAACTGAAATAAAAGAAAGCATAACACCAGAGAAGTTTAAAACAAAAACAGGAAAATAGAGTATTTTATTTGATTCGCCATCATAAGTCAGTTCCATTCACACCAGAATAGAATATAAAAGTGGAAAAAGAAAGACGTACCATTGTAAAGGCCGCAAGGTCCACGTTGCAAGATTTTGCCAATTGGCAGCAAAAGATTGGGGCTGGAAGCAACATCAACGTGACATTATGCCCAAATTCACAGAAGAGGAATTAATTCCGGAAGTACTACTTAGAACTATATGCTCCAGCTGTGGAACTGGATGTAACAGTTTAAAATGTGGCTGTCGAAAACATGGTTTAAAATCCACAAATTTATGCTCAAATGTCATGGTTCTGAAAAGTGCTCCAATATGGAAGAAAAAACCTACGACGAAGGTAATGTTTCAGATGAAATTGTGGATGGAGAACCAATGCAGACTGAGAAAAAAAAACATAAACTAATGGATAAGTGATTAAAATTCAAGATAAGGTATTGATAAATAACAAGATTAGCGTTTTCAAAAATATTATAATTAATAACGTAATCAGAATGAANTAAGGAAAACGGAAACTAATTTATTAATAGTATATTAGGTGGGCTGGGAAGTTCGTAGGCTATCACACAGATGGCGCTACTAGTATTAAATCCATATGATTTTTAGTTAACCCAAACCTTCAAAAGACAGGTGTACAAATTTCACAGATGTCGGATTATTATTTTGTGGGATAGAACATTTTGAGTGAAGCAACTTTTGTTAGTTTGAAGGAAATGGATAAAAAAGAATTTCGTGTGTTAATAAGCATTGCTTTTTGGCAAAAAAAAGTTGAGGGAACATTTCCTTCAATTCTCAAAACCTCAATTGTCATTCCTCTCCATATAGGCGGCAACAATGAAGATCCAGCAAACTTTAGGCCTATATCGCTCTTCCCAACCTTACCAAATATAATTGAAAAACTAGTAAAAAAAAGGATAATGGAATTTTTGACCAGTAAAGGGATACTGAGTGCACATCAGTATGGCTCTCAGAATTTTAAGAGTACAAGTGAAGTTATATCAACAGTATTGCAATTGGTGTATAATGAAATCAACAGCGGGAAGGTCTCTGCAGCAGTGCTTTTGACTGTGTCAATCACAGCGTATTGCTTCGGAAACTCACAAGATATGGTTTTAGGGACAACAGTCATAATTGGATTCGTTCATACCTTTCTGATAGAAAACAATTTGTAAGAACGTCATCTAACTCAGACGTTGGAGAGATAAATTGTGGACTACATCAAGGCTCTGTATTAGGTCCTATATTGTTTCTGTTATATATTAATGATATAACCAACATATCGATTATAGAAAGTTTTACCTTATTTGCTAACGACACCACATTATTGTGGCATGACAAGGACAAAAACTTTGTTATTTGTGAGCAAAACCAATCGAACAACCAGCAATGAATGAAACCACTCGCTGGTTGCGGACGCGGTATCGCTAAATAACAACGTTTCCGTTAAAAAATTAAAATTCGTTGATAAAATTTTGAGATTTTGTGTTATTAATTTCAATAATTTGTTTGTTGAACGGCTCCAATAAGCGTGATTAAAAATATTCATTTGAAAACGTTTCATTTTCTCAGGACCAATCGGAAGTGCTTTAGTGGACAAATACGGATGTCGATCGATGACAATCGTAGGGGGGATCATCTGTACAATCGGCCTCACTCTCAGCTCCTACGCTAGATCCATCGGAGTAATGTATCTAACTTTCGGTGTGATTGGTGGATTGGGCTTGACTCTATGCTTCGTTACAGCAGTGGTTTCCATAGCTTTCTGGTTCGAAAAGAGAAGAACTGTTGCCCTCGGGTTGGCAGCTAGTGGAACCGGGTTTGGGACTGCGGTTTATTCACCTTTAGCCACTTGGTTCTTGCGAGAGTACGGCTGGAGGGGAACTTTGTTGATCACGGCTGGTTTCTTTGCCAATTTGTGTGTTTGTGGAGCTCTGATGAGAGATCCGGACTGGATAATCGAAGAAGAGTAAGTAGATTCAAATCCGACCAAATGCATTTTTTTCGATTAGAGACTGGCCTACCTACCACATTGGTAGGCCGTGGTCGAATAGAAGTTTTAGCAATGACTGAGACTTTGACACATCATCAGTAAAATGTGCAATCAATGCACATTACACTGATGATGTCTGCAGTAGCAAACGAAATGTTTGGTACTACAAGTTCTATTTGACCACGGCCCCTACCAGCCTGGATTTTGTTTTCTCTAATAATGAATTTGAGTTTAGCTTTCTCATATTCTGAAGATGTGGGACTTGTATTCGTTGTGGAAGTTGATGATGATGGCTCTGGATGGAAAAGCAACGTATATAAGACATAGACATCTATGAAATGTAATAGCATAGATGTCCTCCAGGAATCATCTGAAATACTCTTTTTTTCTAGAAATTTTTCGAACTGGCTCATTAATTTTAGCCACCGTGTTCTTATATTTGAAATGTCTTTTCTGGTTGTTATTAGTTCCAGGCCAATGTAACATTTTGATAAATATTAGTATGTTTAAAACGATGATTTGTGAATTCAACTCAATGTCTAATAAACATTCCATTGTCATTTTCTTAATACGAAAGTAATGATTACAAAATCACTTCGTTCTGAAAATAAGTATAGCTTTTCGAATCTAGGAAGGATCTGAAAATTCTCACAACCTGCACCTTCCCCACTATGATATCATTAATGCAAATTTAAGATGCATCTAGTTTGTTAGGTTAGGTCTAAAACCTCCACCGCAACCCGCAAGGGTTCATTGTGGCTCTCACCTTTTCATACTCGATCGAATAAACCTAGCTTCTTAACGAAGCCGATTAGCTTGTGAGTGTGTGTGAGTGGTCTTTCGGGTCAGATGGTTAGAGTACGGCTCTGCCGACATACACTGTCTTCCGACAGTCTGAATCTCTGCATATGATGATTCAA